ACACACTTTACATGTTTTTTTTAAATTATTTTTTGTATTTCTGTATCATCCATGTCTCGCTACAAGGGATTTTAGAACTGTAAATGCAATCGGCTACAGCAATTTATTTAAATTTAAGTGATATATGTTCAACTAGAAATCACAAGTCAAAACAGCACTAAATTTGGCTGAATTATAAAAGGTATAAGTGGTAAAATGGAGAGCCATTTGGGAGCCAAAAGAGTCGGCTCTTTTTGGTGAGCTGAGCCAAATGATCCGGCTCACTAAAAAGAGCCAAAATTCCCATCACTAGAACTGATTGTCTGTGTGTGGGTGTGTGAGTGTGGGTTTCTCTCCAGGTGCCTAATGATTGGAACGGAGGACTTGGGCGCGCACCTTGAGACAATCCATTTATCACTGTGTGGCATATTTAATGGATGGACACCAGGAAGTCGGAGCCAGAGTGTTGTTCACGTGTTGGTCACTCGTGGCCAGCTCTTGTTTATTTCATGCTTTTGAACACCTACCTTAATACTCTCGTTCTCTTGTTTTCAGGATTTGGATTTCAAACATTCACTCATGGGGAAGCACTGCAAATATTTCCAGGATTGTCATAATTCACTGATTCCCAACAGCCCCATCGTTCACGATTTTGTATTCCCTTTTTGGATAACTGTAAATAAACTGCACTTTCCTCTTTCCATCTGTGTTCTGCATATTGGATCCGTGTTCTGCATAGTCTTGTAAAGAATCCCAGTGGGAATCTGTAACAAGGATCCCTTCAACACCTCCTCAGCAGCTGCCCCAAGGCCTCGGTGGATGTCGCTACCGCCATGACCAGGTACTTAAGGCAGTTGCGGAAGCAGTTGTCTCAGCCTCCTCCTCAGCAGACACTGACCCAGGAAGAATCCCATTACCTTCCTTAAGGCTGGAGAGAAGTCCCATTTCCCCTCACAGATGAACACAGGTTTGCTGTCCCGAGCCTCAAATTGGCACCTGAAAGTGGACCTTGAAAACAGTTAAATGTCCTCGAACACATCCCCATGACGAGACTGCGTCCAGACTTGATATACTCAGACGTTACCAAGCAGGTAAGTATATGGGGGTTGATGAGAGGAAGCTGGCAGGAGTGCAGAACCCGGGGCTAGCAGCCTCACTGCAAACCAACTGAGGTGAGGGGGTTTGCTGGCCATTCAATCTGCAAACCTCTGGCAGGGCTTGGAGTAACCGGAGCTGTAAAGAGGAGAGCCATTTGTTCCATCACTGAAGCTGCAGAAAAGAAACACTCAACGGCGTTGGATCAAGAGAGTGAGCCTGTGGAATATAGTGGCAGGCAAACTGGGACTTGATCATCCCCTGAATGGGTCACCTGTGTGTGATGGGGTCTGAAACCCCTGATGACCCTAGGAACATCACTGATGCATCCCAGCGCTTCCTAGAGATGTATGTTAATTCATTTATTTCCAAATAATACAAAAGTACAAAAGCTCACCGTGAAGTTCAATTTAATAAATATATAAATATATATAAAATTAAAAAGGATTTTATTTCTTATTTCTACCATAATTATTTTACAACAAATTTTGTAAACATTTTAAAGTAGCATTTAATCATTAAACTAACATTAAATTAGCAGTTAATCCTTTTTTGATGATTAAATAACACACAAATAGAAAAACATTACATTTCTGTTAAAGGACATTTTCTTTCTTTTTAGGTAGATATTTTGTAGTATTTGTAGATTGTTTTATACAAAACACACATTATTAACTTAAAAATTTGAAATGAACATTTAATCCTAAAACAAAATGAGATGTTTTTTTAAAGAAAATATTTATGCATGAGCCTGACACCAGATCCAGGGTCTCATCGACATGGGGAAGGAAGTAGAAGTCCTTCTCTGTCACTTTGTTCAGGGGCCTATAGTCCACACAGAACCTCTACTTTTGGCTGTTCTTCTTAGGGACCAGGACCACAGCTGACAACCACGGGCTGTCGGAAGGTTCGATTACGCCTGCCTCCAGCATGGCACTCTAATAGGCTGCGCATCCCCAGTGTCAATATGGTGCTCAACCAGATGTGTAAGGCCCACCTCATTGAGGGCGAACATGTCCTTATATTCCCACAAAACATGCCACAGTTTCAACTTTTGGTGGTCATACAGACCATCACAGTTCCTTTCCCATATGCCCCGGCAGAAAACATTACCAACCAGGACAGGAACGTGGCATCTGTAACCGACCTGATTGAAGCCACCCAATTTGACAAGAACTCCAAAAACCTTCAGATATTCCAATAGTTTGTGAATGCTTTTGATTGCAGTATATCTGTAACAAGGTAAATAATACAATATTGCTATAACAATAGTATAATACAACAATTAAGATAATTTCAATGGGAATGATTTTTGTTATTGATTTGTGCTCACCTGTGGGGCATAACCGCTAACAACAACCGCTAACAACTACCTTCACACACATCAACCTGTCTGACTCTCGTTTCACCTCCACCACATTTCTTGCATATTCTTCCTTTAGGATCACCCCTACTCCATTTCTCTTCCCATCCGAACCATGATAAAACAGCTTGTAGCCTCCTCCAATGTTTCTAGCCTTGCTACCCTTCCACCTGGTTGCCTGCACACACAGAATGTTTACTCTTCTTCTCTCCATCATATCAGCTGGTTCTCTAATTTTTCCTGTAATTGTACCTACATTCAGAGTTCCAAACTTCAGACCAAACACTTCTATACTTCCTCTTTTCTCTTTTTGTCCGAATCGATCGTCCTCCTCTTCTTCTTTGTCTTCGACCTCATTTTACTGCAGTGACAGTAGGTAAAGAATTGAAGTGACATCACTGTTCTGTAATCCAAAACAGTGAAGAAGTACTGTGCTTTTCTTTAACGTTGTTACCCCAGGTAATTAAAACAAGCATGGCAGGGCTGGCTCAAGAGAAGCACTGTGGGTTGTCTGATTAACTCACCGCTGCTGCATCTCCTGTGCCCCATGACTGCCTCATGCTAGTTCATGGTGATATTAATTTTGTAAAGATATGATTGTTATTATGATTATAATATTATGATTAACTAATACTAAGTATTGCATCATAAATGCTAAACTTCAAGGATGGAAAACTATTGAGCATTTATGTGACAAAAGGTGGAAATATGATTGGAATTACTGGTAGGACTAAGAAAAAGGAGGACAAGACCTCAGCAGGGAGGAATGACTCCAAGAAGTACAAGACCATCTAATCAGAATAGAATGGCGCCGAAAAGAAGTACAGAGCCATCCCATCAGAGGAGGACAACGGTTGTGTGCACAACTTTGTTACGCTTAAAAACCTGGGTCAGGGAAAGATAGTTGGTCAGACTTCGTGAACTGACATCCTATGCTGTTTGTCGCGTAGATCTGACCCAAACCTCTGGAACTGCCTGTTTTGCTAATTTGTAATTGTAATAAATACGAGTTAAGCCTAAAAATCTTTTCACTTTGACGCAGCGGTTCGAAGGTTCTTACCTTGTATTGATTGGGCCCCCATCTTCCGATAATTAGGTTCCTTGATGCATATTGTCAGCAGTAAGAATTGCAGGCTGCCACCTTGGATTGACGTCCTTTGATCCACATCATCATTAATTTTCCCTCGGCTAATGTCCTCTGACCAACTCCAGAACAAAAGACTGATATTTATACAATTACGTTTAAAATCAGTGTTGGAAGAAGCATTGTTTCTTCTTTTTTAATGAAAAACAATGAGTAGGTGATATGAATATAGGTATGTCAAAAAGTTCTAAGAGAACTTGAGGGAGAAAAAAACCAATTGAAATGAAGCGATTCTCTTTATCTCTTTAAATTAAGTCTAAATTCATCAGCAAGTTATTTTTTTCCCATCACAGAATTCCTTCACTATAGAATTCTGGAGGATGACCTTTGACACCAGGTCACAACCTGCTTCTGTCTGGTCTGAAAGGACTGAAATACTCTTCCTTCCAATGAAGAATTGTAGGCACTCAGTCAACGAGACAGGAGGAGACACATTAACAGTTAGTGTGTGTTCTCCTAACTCATTGACTGAGTGCCTACGGTTCTGTTTTTTACAGTTACAGCAGAGATGCTTTCCCTGACCAGGCCAGACACACTTCGCTGCGGAACATCAGCTAACAGACATAAGGGCAAAGCGTCTCAGAGGAGGGTGACTGACAATATTCGGGACAAGTAGCAAGTTTGTGTGGGACAATAAGGGACAGTGCAATCTTTAAAGCCACCCTTTATTTTTAGCAAGTAACGTGCATGTATCTGGCCTTTTACCTCCACAAAACAAACAAATAGTCTATAGTACCAAAGACAATCTAAACCTAGTACACACATTTTGTAATGTAACATATTAATAATGCATTATCTTAATTCTTCCAGATCTAACATAAAATAAGCAGAGAAGGCACAGCAAAAAAAAAAAAAAAAAACACCAGATGTAAAATTAAACAATTTAAATGTAAATAGGTCTCTGTAAAACCAACAACTTCTGTGGAAAAAAAGAAATACCCCACCGCCACCAAACAGATTTTGCATCACAGTCCAGCAGGTGGCAGGCTATGAATAGCAGGTTTCTGAAACACATTAGTAACCATGTGCTATCCACGCCAAGATAGTGACTTTGTTTTCTTAACGCATCCAGACTAATTTTTTCCCACACATTTTAAATATTACTGTTTTTACGCATCTTAAAATTATAAACTTTCTCACTTTGGGAATATCCGGCATAAATATAGGGTTTAGTAGTAATTTTGAAGATCTGTAATTGTCGAATAAAGCGATGCATCTATAAAAAAATATAAACAAAAACACTTTACTGTTTGACGAAAATGCCATAATATTTAAATAATTTGTAAAAATGTGATGTCATAATGGCCCTTCGAACTTTAGGTGATTGACTGGTAACTTGACCAATAGATTTTCGCCTGGTTAAGCGAAAGTCTGGATGAACAACTTCCTGTTGTTTGCCGAAGAGGCATTCGCGACACATCTAAATGGTTGTAAAACTGAAATTTATATTAAAAAATGCAATATATACCATAATGGATTAATCAGTTAGGCTGTAAATATTCGTACATTAAGAAATAAATGTCGTAAATCTATTTTGTATTTTTTAACAAAAGTGTATTGGATTTAAACACTTTTTTTTTTCTCCCATTCGTTCGGTGGTAAGTGAAGGCAGCAGCAGTCACAAACACGGGGAGTTGTTCACAAAGACGAGACGGTAGCAGAGAAACTGTAGCAATGAGCTGATGAAGTTCCCTTTCGTTTGCGCTTTGTAAAAACCATCCTGTGGATGATGTGAGAATGAATGGTAAAATGCGGCTTTAGCTTTCTGCCCCACTGACTGCTGTGGTGGCGCCACTGTCCGACCGACATGGAATCAAAAAGAGTGGATATACCATCCGACGTACTGGACGACCTTTGCAGGTAATAACGCATGAGTCAATTAGTGCATTTTTGACGGCTACTGAGGTCAAAACTGAACTCTGAAGTTTGATATCTTTAAGTATATCATATTATTAGTGTGTATAAAGGTTCGAGTTACTAAATGAGAACACCTGAGTAGCGCACTTTGCTGTTGACGTAGTTAGCTTAGCATCCTCTTACCACTGTTTGTATTTGTTGTTAGCTTAGCTACTTCACGTTTACAGCGCTTGCGTTATACAGCCCAGAAAACAGCCAAAACAACGAGGTTTCTCAAAACAATTACAACTTTAGCTGAAACAGAGAAACATGGCAAAATAGTCTAACTATATTTTAAGGTGATCCGAAGGCAGAGAAAAGAAAACAAGGATGCTTGAATGTATAACGGATAACTAAAGTTTGGCCACCCGTAACTGGTTATATTTGCTTTAACCATATATATATAAAGATATATACCATCTTGTGTTGTTTTCTTAGCTAAAGTTGCTTGCCGTTACTGTCCAGTTGTGTCTGAATTGGTTAGGACTCATTAATATCCACCACACCAGCCTGTACCTCAATGTGTTTACCAGGTTCTGTTTCTTTTTTTGTCCCGTCTTTTCAGTCGATTTATCCTGCACATTCCCAGCGAAGAGCGGGATAATGCCATCCGTGTGTGTTTCCAGATCGAGCTGGCCCACTGGTTCTACCTGGATTTCTGCATGCAGAACACTCCAGGAGCTCCCCACTGTGGAATCAGAGACTTCGCCAAAGCTGATATCTTTGCATATGTTTATAAGTACAATTATATTCTTGTATTTGTTAAATGTGACTGTGAATCATTGGTCCCAGTTTCTCAGTATAGCTCACTTGCATGCCTCTATTAGCACAAGACAAAACCTGCCTTCAGACCCAGGTTTTTAGGTTTGGTTCTTTCTTCCTTGACAACTGCAAACTTTTCCACCATTGCCCTTTTTTGTTGCCCCATGGAGAAGATGTTCAGAAAGTCCTTGAACAATGGAAGGAGTACAAGATGGGTGTACCTACATATGGAGCCATCATTCTGAATGAATCCTTAGAAAACGTGAGTTCACTGTAGCAAAATATAATATGTATTCCGAAAGTGAAAATGTGGAAACCAAGGCCAAAAACCAAAAAACCTAAAGAAATTATTATGCCAGTTATTAGTACCATTGCATTTATGGCTAAACCTCAATAAAGTCAAGCCACGGCGATTGCGTAAATTAATAATAAATTAAAAAATAAGTTGATAATTGTCAAAATAATCTAGCAGAGAAATAAAATTAACTGATAGTCACTTAGGAAGTCACAACAGAAAAGCCTAACTATTATTATAATTATTTGAGGCACTCTCTTGCATGATCTCACAGAACATATCAGACAACCAGGGTGCATACCCCTCATCTGGCACAGTGAGACGAGTCCTTTTTGCGGCGCTCTGCTCTCCTTCTCCTGCGCTGTGCGCCTCTGTTTCGAAGTGGGTTCTCCACATCCATCGCTGGTTAGATAATCTCTCGTGCACGCTGCTTTATTCCTTTATCCAAATAATGATCTTTATAACACAGATAAAGTACAGTTGCGACAAAGTGCAGAGGATCTGAATAGATCTCAGTGAAACGTGTGCTGACAGGCTCTATCAGTGTACTTTTAGACAAGCTTGCGCCGCGGTTTTTGCTTGCGTCATCATAACTTTCGGTTTCTGCATTGTGAACTGTGTTTGCTCTCTCATCCCTTAGGTTCTTCTTGTTCAAGGCTACCTGGCAAAGTCAGGGTGGGGTTTTCCAAAGGGTAAAGTGAACGAAGATGAAGCTCCTCATGACTGTGCAGTACGTGAGGTAAGAAAGGTGTCTCTTCTTCTTCACATGTTCTGCCCTCTTAGTTCTTCATTTTAAAGTGACCTTTTCTTTTCTGCAGGTCCTGGAGGAAACAGGCTTTGACATCAAAAATCGCATTTGCAAAGATGTGTTCATTGAGCAAAAAATCAACGACCAGCTGGTACGACTCTACATCATACCTGGAGTTTCCAAGGACACAAAGTTTTACCCCAAAACCAGGAAGGAGATCAGGGTAGGGGCACTATTTTCTTTTATTTTTCTAGAGTTTTGTAGCCGGCACAAATCGCATCATCCTGACGACTCTTTTAATGCAGAACATTGAATGGTTTCCCATTGAGAAGTTACCATGTCACCGAAACGACATGACCCCCAAATCCAAACTAGGACTTGCACCAAACAGGTTTTTTATGGCCATTCCATTCATCAGGTAGGTGTTCGGACACATGCTGACATTCTTGACTTTTCCTTTGGTTATTACTTAAAGAAACAGTAGTAACTTCACCCAGGGAAAGTTGTGACGCTGAAGGTGACGCTTCCTGTTTCTTTTTGTCCAGGCCACTGCGAGAGTGGATCAACAAACTGAAGGGTGAGTGCACGGACAGCGATGATGACCTCACCAGCAATAGCAGCACTCCAGGGAAACCATCAGACAACCATCGGTATGAAAGTATCCATCTTTTCAAAAACACTAGCACGGTGGTTCTGTGGAACTGATCGGTTTCTTGTGTTTTAATTTGTCAAATCATCAGATCAAAATCACAGCGCCTCCTGGGTACTGAAACATTTGTTGGAAACGGCTGGAGCAAACACACGCAGCAGAAAGGTCAGCTGGTAGAGGTCAACCAGGTCAGAAACAGTCGTCATAGAAACTCTCGCCACTGTAAGAAGAACTGAATGCTAAGTGAGTCTCTGTATTCTGTAGAATTCAAGTTCAAAGGTCAATGGAAAAAAAGGTCAGGACTTGCCTTGTGTGAAAAAAGAAGCCAATGAGAGTGGAGCCAACGGTCATCAGGTGAAAACTTTATTAGTTAAACAATGCCCACAAAAACAAATTTAAGTTGAAATTCATTTGAAAAGTTATTTCAAATTGAAGACAAATGAATTCTTTCAATACACATTCTGTATTAAAGTTCTTACAATGTATGGTTCTATTGTTTCTACAGAAAGAAGACAGAAGGCTCCAGCCTAGGAAACTGCTAGAGAGTTTTGACCAAGGTGAGAATTCTGTTGTCTCTATTTCTAAGGAAGCTAGCACTTGAGCTCATTAATTTCTCATTAGAACCTCCAACTGGTGAAAATGGACCTTTTCTTTTTTTGACAGTTTTGCTTTGTGTTGGGGATCTATATCTTATAAACATTCACTATCCTGTTTATTCCTCCAATAAAAGAGCTCCAGGTACCACCAATGGTACATATACCACTGCTTGAGAACCACTGCTTCAGGACAGTAGTGGAGTACTGGGAATTGAAAAAACAACTTTTTTTCCTTGAATGAATGTGTGGAGCAAAAGCTGAAAAAAAACTGATGAAAACACTCTGTCTCCCCTTTTTACAGACAGCGCTTCATGCAGTTCCAAAGGTCACCACACGGTGAACAAAAGAGATGTGGAACAGCTGCTGTCTTCCAAGACCTTCCTCAACTTTAAATTTGACAGAGATGCCATCATGAAATGTTTCGACTGCTGACATAGCCATGATGAATTTTGATTCCCTTTTACATCATATCCTGGCTCTGCCTGAGCCAGGATATGATGAGGAAGAGAAGAAAAACACCCACAAAGGGACCGGTCTCCTGTTCAATTCAAATGCAAACAGAAAACCTGCAGTTTGAAAATGGAAAAACACAGAAGCTGCTTCTGTTTTTACTGACACTTTGTTAATCTGTTAAGGTTCCAGTTGTTGGTTATTGGTTTTGAGACTCCAGTCCTAAAAATGTTCCGCTATTGAACTGTGCAGACAAGTTTCTAATCCCAAACAAGTGATTTTCCTGTTTAGATGTTCATTCAGCAGCCACCTTTGGGAATTACAGCTTTTATTTTTTTATTTCCTGGTCCATAGTGTATTTTCCTTATAGAAAATATATATATACTGAAAATGTTGGTTTATTTTTAGCAGTTTTTTCATGGTTGTCAATGCTGCCCACTACAGGTACACATGAGCAGTTAAACATCTGTGGACAGAGAACAATATTGAAATGTTTAAATGTTAGACTCTTACATGGAAAACAGCTACAATGTCCAGAAAAAACTGCTTTAGTGGAACTAGGCCGAAAGTTCCATATCTGCTCTACTTGTGGTGTTTCATTTTTATTAATTGTTCTCCAGACGGTGTATTTTTGTTCACCCTGTTTTTTCAACTTCATTGATGTTTTTGACTGTGAATTGAGTAAAGAATGTTTTTTCACTTGTTTTGCTTTGTGTATTTTAATTGTTTCTAATATCCTCTAAATTGAACAGGCTATAAATTAGCTTGAAATGGCTAAGATGTAGCTAAGCTAAAACACAAAGGCTAAAAGTTAGCCTAGTAATAGCTAAATCTTAGTCAAACTGCACTGGTGCATAAGCTAACAGTGGAAGAGGTAGTGTTGACAATATTTGGTTAACTGTTACACAGTCCAGTCCACATACAGGAGCAGTCAGTGTGAGCTGTTGTTACTGCACAGTCCACAGATGTTTACTGACAAATGAAGTCCAGCCAAAAGATATACAGAAGGCCCTGTTTACACAGTGATGACATGTCTCAGGATCCTGGAGCTCCTATAGTGCCTTTCCTGCCTTGCATTTAGACCAGTGCTTCTCAAATAGTATTTTAATTCGTTGGGGTGTGGGTCAGGGGGCACAGGGGGCGTGAAAACATTTCTGTCCCCAAGGGGGGCATCACAGAAAATAATTAAGAACCACTGACTTAGACAAAGATGGAGTGAGGGAGAACGGTGTTGTCACAGTATATGGGTCCCAGAGTACAAAGGCTGAAAACTTAAGCATTTCGTCTGTGTGTGAATGAAACAGAACAAGAGATACGGTCTCTGTCATCCTTCAACACAGTAACTCCGCTCAACACAACACAGTAACAACAATTTTTAACGACGATGCTTCTTCTGATTGTTTTTCCAGTTTGAATGTTTCCTATTATTGTAATGCCCCAGTGATGCCTTGGTGCTTTTTAAGGACTTTATTAAAAGTTATTATTACTACAACTCACGGTGACTTCCACCCAGCCAGTTCCATTAGTGGATTTCTCATTATTGCATTATGGTAGCACGTTTCATATTTGGAATTACAAATTTGTTAGATTTGTTTGTGTTTTATTATTGTTTATGTTTGTTCAGGAAAAAAGAATATTTGAGCATTGTGACCCGATGTATCAAATATGATATAAATTGAAACTCATATATGGAAAATTATATTTGAATTTTTGTTTGTTTGTTTGTTCAGAGGGACCAATAAATGGTCCGAGTTCAAAGAATTAGAATTTTAACTTTTTTAATACTTCAGAAACGTATTATACTTATACAGTTGTATTACGAGTAAAGAAAAAATTCTCGACCCCTGTTCTAGATAATATTCTAGTCCAGAGAAACTTTCCATGGACAATTTAGTCCCCAAATACTGCTTAGTTTACAAACACAGTTCAGCCCACAGATAAATTCTAGTCCCAAGACACTGCCCACGTAAACACTCTAGTCTACATATAAACTCTTGTCCACTAAAACAGTCCAGACCACAGATATATTCTAGTCCAGTGAATTAAATTAAATATAATTTTACAAAAAATCATGAACATACGGAAGCGTATTTACGGAAGCGTATTATTTTATACAGAACTAGCGTCTTCAGGGCGCAATAAGATTTTGGTGCGCGAGAGGTGGTACGGTCGACACGTGACCGGACTACACCAATAGGGTAGCAGCTTTTGGTAAACAGAAAAGCAAGATGGCTGCCAGCTGAGTTTCATCTAACAGTACCGCAGGAGAGGAAAACTCATCAAAAATGAGTAAAATAACGAGATTTGCAGGATAAAACAGTGCTATATGCACATAGTCTATGTGAAACACTCGCACGGTGGAATACGTACAAGAAGAGTCTACAACGGTGGCTCGGGTTGAGAGATGAGTGCCGATACGTAGCTGAAAACTTCAAACATATGCTACTAGAGGTTTATTGACAAGAGTGTTATTGCAAAAGTGAAAAGGCGTCTCGAGCGTGAGAAAGAGCGAAGAGAAGAGGATACGGAAGACAGCTCAAGAAGTGAGTGCACAGGAGCACACAACTGTCATCATTAAGAGCCCTGACACTGATGTGGCAGCCATTGCTGTAAGTCTGCAGACAAATTTACCTATGAAATAAAATGTATATTATTATTATTATGATTATTATTATTATTATCATACCATGCAGCGTATATTTTTTCACAGGTACAGGCAACAGGACACGCATCATTGACATTACCAAGGTGTCATCAGCTCTGGGAACCAGTGTGTGTTCAGCTTTGATTGTCATACATACATTCTCTGGGCGTGACTCCACAAGTGCCTTTTATGGTAAATGCAAAAGAAGAAAGTTTTTGTATCATGTGAGAAACCTTAAGAGTACCTCAAGGCTTTTAAAATCTGGGTGCTAACTTTAACTTGGACCACCTAACATTTGCACTACTTTGCAAATATGTATGCCATCTGTATGATCAACCAGCTGCTGAAAATGTCAATGAGGCTAGGTACAGGACTTTCTGTATGACATCATCAGCCTCACCAGAATTGTCTATTCCCCTCCATGAGCACTACAAAAGGGCAAATTATCAGGCTGCAGTCATGAGGTCCTGCATCAGACAAAATATAGGTGCTCCATCACCTGCTGGATATGGTT